CGCCCAGGTAGGTAGACTAAGCGCTGCTGAGGCCCGATTGGGTGGTCGTCTTGGTTTGGACACGAGACGCACGGACAACGGAGACCGGTTACTTCAGATGTGTGCCATCAGATGTGTGAACCATCTTGCCTCACCGGGCTGTATGATTCACCGTTAAAGATATTGATTCATCAACCATCTTGCCTCACCGGGCTGTATGATTTACCGTTAAAGACCCTGCTTCACACGCCCTCCCAAACCATCGAATGGTGCAATGCAGTTCCCCGATTGATTCACACGTCAATTATATCGTTTGCTGCTTCCAACTGGTGGCCATCTACCCCTGTCTTCCCAGATCGTCGGTGAGCGAAACTATGGCAGTTATAAGCACTGTACAACATGTACGCTGTCTACAGCTGACGATCATGACGGTGATGATAGCTATGAACCTAAGGACAGATTCGATGTAACACACTTCTTACTGCATTTGAAAATGCGACATTCCCTCCCAAGAACGGATCCCTTGGAGACGAATATCTCAAAGAAGGATGCGAAACTCTCTTGTTCCGATCTTTGATTCCAGTACCGTAGATGGAACGCCTTCATGGTCCTCGTCCACCCAAAACCCGGGGGGTTTTGTCACTCTCTAAGTAAGAAAGTAGGTGGTAGCAGAAAACACTAAGTAAGAAATACCAAGGTCAGTACTTTCTGGCACAGAAACACTTCGTTAGCAGTTGGTATCACCCCAGAGCTGCGTTTAACCGGAGGAAACCATGAGGCAAGCGTACTTTCACCCCTCTTTGACATTGACTTCACACAAGTTCTTATCTGACATAGGATACCTTCATGGTCTCTTCTGAGGAGGTTACAGTACACCTATGATTGCCATCGATTTAGTGCGCAGTGGGTCAGTTAAGTCGACTGGTCTTCCTTTCCGTGCTGACTGCCCATGAAGAGTGTAAGCAGTGTCCGCATGTTTGAATTTATTATTGCAAGTTAATTACTCACTTTGCTCGTAAGTTTTTCGGATATTATCCAGGCCTGACGAACACACTTTACGTGTCCTTATCGGGACACTGCGACTGGTTACATGCATGCAAAGTGCTGATCCAACTGAGTGACTTCCAGTTTTTTTCATGTAGTCATCGGAATTTCCACCGTTTGGTAGCTCCCGTTAACAAACCACAAACTTTTTCCAATTGATTGAAAACTATAAGGCCCTTTTGCGGTTTTCCTCTTGTCAAGTGGCGCCGATCTGTTCGTGCGAGAGTGGAATGGCGTTTGTCTTCATTAGGTTTATATTGCCCTATGTGAATTGACCAAGTGGTGGTGGGAACGTGTCCGTCTTAGGGAGGGGTGCTGCTAGAGATTTCCGGAGGAACAGTAGTGTTATTCTACTTCATCCTCCCCGTGAATCGAAACAGGTTGCACATTTCACATAATGTTTGTTTATGTTCACAGAGCCGAGGCTAGTCTCCCTCATCTGGTTGCCCTCAACCCATATGTCAGAGTTTCACTGGAAACGAACGAAGTGACTTCGATCACCGCTCCCTTGGCCAGTGAAGTAAACTTACAATTGTTGAAACCGCTGTGGAACCCTGATGAGGAGAAAACAACCAAAGTTGAGGTGAGCGGAAAGGGATTCTGGTGTGATGCATATGTGAACAGTTCTCTTCTTTCCGAACTGGTCCCACGTTCTCGAAAACTGTTGATCGATCGGTGGTTAAGGCCCGACTTTACTGACCAGATGGTCCGTGGTTCGAACCCAAACACGGCATCTTGTCTAGGTTTGGGAAACATGGCAGTTTCTCATCCCTCGTGTTTCATTCGAGTGGCATTGCGAAAGGTTGTTGGACGAAACAGGTAGATTATTACACATAGTTTGAAAGCTCAACCTTCCCTCCACTAGCTTCGACCATGAAGCTTACAACTAACTGACCGACATTCCTTCTCATACCTGTTACAAACTGGGCATCCACCGAGTCTGAATTGTGGCCAAACTACTCAAGTCTGGACGTAAAGTGATCATTGACCGCGCACCACCACACCCGTTCTCTATCGGCTTTTCAAGTATTGAATGCCACTCACAATGATAATGGGATAACTGTTCAATCCACACACTATTTTAGTTTATTTTCGACTGTTAGTTTAAGCTTCGGTCAATTTTTCTAGAGCTTACAACTTGGGCAGATTGACAGTGCGTCGAGGCATTGGAAGCCCGGGTGTGTTTATTGGTTACTGGTCGGGCGGCTATTGATCCCGTCACTGAGCTTGGCGGTCAACTTGCAAACGTTTCGTTACCAGATGAGCGGACACCATCATTGCGCAGTTCTGTGGGTACTCCCTCCTGGGCGTTTATGTAGCATTTGAAGAGTATCTATTATCTCCTAACGTGATTGGCTAATTTGGAAATAGCGTTCTCGCGAGGCCATTGGTCCGTTTGTGATGCGCGTTGCAATGTAAGCAAATTTTCGATACTTTTGTTGCTATCTTTCCTCAGCCAACTTTCACTACTCCTGTTTTTTTTTGAATATTTTCTCAGTGCCTGATCGTAACACAGTGTTCACTTCATGCTGCCACCCTACTGAACATTTTCTGTCGGAAACACTCCATCCGGGTAAGTGATTAGCTCTTCTCACTGTTTGTTATTCCTTCTAGATGTTCACTACAAGGTGAGTCATAGGTTGTGTTTTTTTGGATAGATACATCAGCTATACGCTGCTGGAGAAGCTGCAGACCTGTGGTAGAGGATTGCCTTTCGAATAAACTTCCTTCTGGATTAAATCGATTGTGACGAGATGCGTTAGGAAACAATTTGACTCTCGTTCACCCGGGAAAGCAGTTTCCAAACAGTACGAACAGGTTCTTTTTGACATTTTTGCATGGACTTGAACCGTTCGGTTCGTGCTCCTTCTTTCTAGCTGTAAGTAGAAGCTGACA